AACAACACGGCGAGGCAGCAGTCAGGCGGCAGGCCACAGGGCGGGCATTATTCAGGCAAGGCTAGACTCTCAACTCATCAGGTAGACATGCACCTATCTTGTATGTTATGGCTTCTGCTAAGCTGTTCAGAAGAGCAGGACCGACCTCTCATCTCGCCTTGCTGAAGTTTCAACGGTTTAGGAGCTGTTGCTTGAAACAAGCTGTGCTTCAAATCCTATTCTCGCACCGCTGTCATTGAAACCTGCGAGGGGCCCCAAGGTTGAGAGGCACCAACATGATTCATGCAAAGTGGCTTCATGGCTTCGTCGTCCGAGGCTTCGTCCTTTGTGGCTGAGGAGAGAATAAACACTGCCATCCCGCGGACGTAGATCCAATGGGACCCCTCAAAGCTCGCATCCATACGGCAACAAACCTCACACCTTAATATCTCGCCTTCAGTGGTGGTTATGATTTGGTTGATCTAGACAGTCTAGACGCCCTATACACCCCAAACTGCCACCTCAAGAAGTGATGTAACAGAGAAAAGGACCTTTATAGCGACTAGAAACTTCAACCCTGAACCCCATACCATCTATGACCCCTGAAGTTGGGATTGTGATGCGGTCCAATGCCGTTGAACCTGAAAGGTCTTTTCTTCGGTCTTTCGAAATTGACCTGCCAGAACGGGCAGCGAACCATACAAAAGTTCCAACCCTCAATAGTACTCTTGAACTGAACCTTGTCAGTGAAACAATATACCAGGACCCCCATGGTCAAAACTCCAATTCCTTGGCCATTTCAGAGCGTCCCCCCTTTCAGACCTCCTTGTCAGAACCATGTTTTCGCGATGACTAGCGGCACTGAATACCACAACCGCCAGCCAGCAAACCGAAAAACGAAACCCTTTGCAACCCCAATCCTCGTGCTTCTCCATCAGGCGGTTGGTGAGAATCGCCCACTGGTGAATGGGCCCTGAGCTAGTGTCGGTACCAATCGATTCCTGAGAATGGGCCCAGGCTTGCGGGTGACAAGGGCTAGGTGGCTCTTAAATGAGGGCGAAGGTCATAGCCTGGATGCCTAGGTGGGCTTTAGACTTTGGCGTGGGAGGGATGGTGACGGCCTAGGGCCAAGGTCTTTTGTGGGAACATGATACCCTTTTTCATAGGCCACGGATAGGGTCGCCATGATGATGGTAGCTGTCTGGCTGCTAATGGCTTAAGATCTTGGGTGCGCAGAAGAGTGTAAATGTCCATAAGACACGGCCCAAGGATTGCCCAGCTCACCTGCCTGTCTGAAATGTAACAGTGTAACCTTGTAGGGGTGATCTGAAGACGTACGGAGTCTGAGCACGCAACGCCCTGAACAAGTCCAAGCGACATAAAGCTCTGCTTTCTCGCATAGGCCAATAGGGCACTTACCCCGCATACAACGTGACATTTCTGATGAGTACGCCAACACACTGCTGAAGAAGCGCTTTATGGCTTCAAGTACCCATTTGAATCTCTGAAGCTCTTGATAATGCGGACCCAGCTTCAATAGAAGCAATCGAGACTTGGCTGATCTCTCGGGGGACGTCCTTCGGACTGTCTGCTCGTATCCCAAGGCCTTGGTTCTCTCTTTCAGCTTAAGTCCGAACATGCGAACCTTCTTCATTACATGGGGATTACAATAAGGATAACATTGGGGGTTCACAAATTTGACTACATGACGAGCCATGCCCGTTTAAAAGAGATGCTACGTACATTGCATGAACCCTATTGCGCAGAAGGCGCTTGCGATTCACCAGGAGGTCAGGTTTAATCTCGTTGGAAGTGCAGAGGGGCGAGACCAAAAAATACTGAAAAGATTTCAGATAATCAGCAACTATTCCCGGCCATGCAAACCTCACCATGACTCTTGAACGGCCGGTCTTGACTACTCAGAAACCCTAACTTAGGGTAGCCGTTTGAGTCGTAAAACCAACAAGCCTCCGGATAATACCACTGTGACTTCCCGTGTCGTCAACCATAGTGCGCAAGCATGTCTGACAGTGGAAGGACAAATGCGAAAGTTATCAAGGTCGCAAGTAAAGAGTTCTCATAATCAAATACCCTCACAGACAGTAGGGACAGGCAGGTGCCCATATGGATGATTTGTAAAGTTGAAAAATATTTCGAGCAGCGAGGAGCTGATCACGCTCCCAGCGTTCGGGCTGGGCGGCTCCGAAAATGGATCTGTAGGACCTCAGGTGCTCAAGGGTTCAAGGTTTGAGGTCGAAGCATCATGCCCCAACTTGTTGCGCATATGATGCTCTGAAAGCTAGTCTAGCTGAAGCTACTGCAACGACAACTTCAGTGCTGCTACTGCTACTGATACTGCCACAGCTGCTGCTGTGTACTACTACTAGGCACATTTTACATCTACTACTACTACTACTACTACTAGTACTACTACTACTAGTACTACTACTACTACTACTACTACCACTACCACCACGCCTGCTCTCACTCCTATTGTCACTGCTCGACTTAGTACTTGTCATTCTCGTACTAGTGCAGCAACGACAAGTTTTTACAGCAGCAGAAGCAGCAGCAAGACGAGGAGTAGCAGAAACAGTAGTACCAATAGTAGTACTTGAACTAGTAGTATTAATATAGGTACTACTTCTACTGCTACTACTATTCGTACTACTAGGCGTTGCAATGCTAATTGATCGCACTGTTTTGGGGTGTGCATAGGTTTGCGCAAAGTTGCAAAAGTACTGCGTTCGGTCCTGCGCTTTACCATATTTCGTGGCTGTTGACTCATTGACGCTAGTTGCGGTCCAAATCTTGAACAGGCCTGGAGATGCTGTAACTTACAGGACTTCATGCGTCTTTATAATGTTCGGACCGCTTGTGTGAACGTTACATGGTGCATCGAAAAGCGTAAAACTACTGAGCTTTGCAAAACAACCACGCTGGACTTTTTGTTCATTTCTTCTTCGTCTGTTGCGCTGAGGCTTTGGTACTTCTCCCTGATGGCTTTGGGCACCGTATGGTAAAAGGACGTGTCAAACCGCTTCCTGCCCCTGCAAGAGCGCTGGCCAGTCTGCGTCATTCTGCGCCAGCCGTTGCATAGCAGGAATACTTCGCCCACATCAGTCTGTCAAAGGGACCTTTCCCGTTTTGATGTTGACAAAGGGGCCTTTGCCCTTTGTTGGATGCATTTACATTGAACCTTCTTTGGAAGCTTTAAAGGGGGCCTACAGTGCGACCTTCGCCTTTTTGGATGGAAGGAATGTAAGAACCCTGGAAAGTCCATAACAAACTAATGAGAATCTTGCCACTGTTGTAGCAGCGCGGTACGCGCATGCTCCCACAGTGTGGACAGCTTCCCCACTGCAACGGTTGTTTATAGTTGAGCCGATTGGGAGCCAAAGTGTTGAAGTCTCAACAGAATGGTCATGTAGGGTTTTTCGGAAGCTTGTGCAGCCTCATGCGCGCACTGCTCTTGCCAGGCATCGTGGCTGGCCAACCTCTGAAATTTCTGAATCCCTAGCTGTTAAATTGAAAATTCTTATCACCCCCCGCACCCCGACCCCTCGCCCCACACTCACACGGAAGCGTGTAGGGTACTGCTGCTGCTGCTGCTACTACTACTACTACTACTACCGCTACTACTGCAACGACGACAGCCAAAAACCTAAAACAAACTAGAGATAGCGAAAGCACTTGATCGACTGCTTGTGTAGAGGAATCATTTTGAGTGAAAGCCCTGTGGTAATGAACGACGCTATTATGGATGGTCTCGAGGGCGGACATCTTGGTTTCGTATGTTGCATGAACGTTATCGCACGGGCTCGCATTGATGCTCTGGGTAGAACAGCTCATGCGGTTCGGCATGAATCATCTCGACAGTGGCTTGGGCGGAAGCATGGAAATCATCATTGAGGGGGGCGGCATGGCATAACAGCATGTGGCATGGTGGCAGCAGCAGCGCCAGTATAGCAGTAGCCACAAGCCGCAGGACAGGAGCATCTACAGGACGCTTTCGCACTAAGGCAAACCTGTGTCTTGGGAAAAAGGACAAAATAACTCCCTGCACCTTATGCACATTCTATAGTAACACCATCCTACCACATGATACGAATAACCCCTGTATGATCTCTGCAGCAATCATGAACCATGGCGTTGCCGTGTCTTCCGAACCCCGCAAGTGCATGGTGCATTTCCAGAAGGAAGGTTCCAGGGTGTAGAGCAATTTAAGCTACCGAAAATCCTGCTTCAAGGTCAGTTCACTTCGGGGTATCATGATAGGAATTAATCTGGGAGGTTCTAAATGGAGACCCTGCTTTGCGGGGAAATGTCTTGAGCAGAGATACCAGATGGGTGGTTGTTAAAATCATGGTCTCTTTTTTGGGTACGTACCTTAAACATTAGGTGCCGTATTATAATAAGGATCCCAAAAAGGAACCACAATTTTGACAACCACCCAAATCACTATTGCCCTGGTCCCATTAACAGGCGTCCACGGGACTTTTTTCGGAAACGAGGCTGTGGCTAGCCTGGCCCACTTCCAGCTGATGCTTTTGCATGAGGTTCTCAAAAAGCCTAAGTCTCTGCATGGTGATGGTGAGGTGTGCAGGGTCTGCCAACAAGTGGAAAGAAAACAGCAGGCGTCCTTTTCTGGCGACATCTCACACAATACAAGAACATCAGGATAGTCACATGGAGAAACAATGAAGCTACCCAGGCAACCTTAGGATTCCACATCTTCGACTTGAAGCCTAAACCGTAATACTCTGGATCCCACACCCTGAAAACGGTGAAAGACAGTTGGATGCTCCAAGAGCCTTTCAAGTTCCGAGCGCAGGAAGTTGCCATCTTCCCCTTGGAATACTGCGAGCGATTGGGGTTCAAGGTCTAAGCGTAGAATCGAGGTCCCTGAGTGGGGTTTTGGTGAGGCCACCATCTCCCTAGAACTTATGGCAGGAATCTCGATATACACCCTATCTAAATGAGGCTCTTCCTCTTAGTCTCAGTCCATCGCAGAACATCCGTACAACAGCAATCGCAACGTAACAGTACACTGTGATTTCGCAAAAGGCGGGTCTGCGGCAATGCAACATGCCCTGCCTCCACAAGCGTTGGAAAGAGTAGCGAAAGCAACAATCCATCCAGAATATGTGCCCCGAGGCACTGGGTACGAACTGTAGCAGCAACACCACCGCCACCGCCGCCGCCGC